AAAAACATCTTCTTTCACTGCTATGGAGGTAAGAGGGGAGACAGGAGAGAAATAGGACTGTAAAGCAGTTTAGAGTACCAATCTCCATTTAAAAAAAAATAATTTTGATACTAAATCTGAAATAATTTTGAGGATATATACCATTCTAGTATACTTCCCCCGTTTAATTCTTCCAATATTCTTTAAAAGATAACAAAATATACAGAACAGAACTTTCCTTTTTAAAGCTAATTCATATTATCTCTTATATAAAAATTCTGTATTCTGTACTTTACACGATCAGAGAAACTTCTATAGTAACAAACTATAGAAATGATTCCTGAAAGTATAGTCTTTCTCATACACTTTTTTTATTTTTTTTTTTTGAGTGTCCAACGCTTTCATTCTCTGGAAGCCGTTTCTTCCGTCTATTCCAGATCATAGTCTAGGGCTGTTGGGCTCACAGCTTGGAGTCACCTCTGGTCCCTGGAGAACCCAGCCCGGCTTAGAGGGATGGAAGAAGCTTCAGGATCTTGCTTGTGTCCCTATCCACCCCCCACTCCCGCCCCTGCCCCGGCCCCCACGTACATACACTCTTCAGACCTGCTCTAGCTGCAGGGGTGACAGAGATGCTGGAAACATTAAGTCTAACTGCATCGATGGCTTCAGGTGGACGGAAGAAACCTTGGCTGTTGGGTGACCTGGTTCATCAGTGGCCATGTTTCTACCCCCAGCACTATGTTGTTTTTCTCACTAAAATAAGCAAATCACTTCTGTGATGTGCCAGGTTGAAAGGGCACGGGTCTTGATGGAGGGAAAGGGCAGATAAGTATCCGCACCTTCAGTTTTTCTGTCCCGGGTCCTGAGTGTAATCCGAATGCGTGCCTCTGTCCCAGGCCCTTAGGGATACGGAGGAGGCAAATCCAGGCTGGAGAATGCCAGTGTCCAACGGAGTACTCGGTAAACAGCAGGCACGTGAATGCCGAGTGACGGGTGCTGGGGGCCTAGCTAAGCCCCACTTGTCCATCTAGG